CCGCGCGGTACCCGATGGTGGCCTGGCGCCCCCTGCTGGTGCCGAAGCGCAGGTGCCGGATGCAGGCCGCCCGGGTGACCCTCTAGCGCGTCTACCGCAGGGACTCTGGCCCGCTACCGCTGGGGGCTCCTTACCGCGGGCTCCAGTGCGCCCTAAACCTCAGCCGGATGCTAGGAGGGAGGCGGACTTTCCGGCCACACACTCCCCCCTCCAGCCGCCCCCCACAACTCCAGGACTGATGTTTGCTGTGAAACACCCAAGAGGCACAGAGCCTGGGTATGCGAGGAGGAAGAAATCAGGCAGGTTCTGCCCTAGGTGACCCCCAAGGGGTTGGAGACACAGAAGCAACTGCACGGAACAGAAGGCCGGCTGCAGAGAAAGTGGGAGCCAAGGCCCCACCCTTCCCTCATTTAGGTGGAGTTGCTTGTGCTCTTCTAAGTAAATTAAAAGTCTAATCCCACTGCCCCATCCGAGGACTTGCAGGATAACACTGCTGGTGGAGCATCACTCGGATCAGGCCTCCAGACTAGTGTCCTGATCCTAGTGACATCACATCACTGCTTTATTCCCCCTGTATCTGAAGAAGCAGCCTCGGAGAGGTTCTGCACCTTGCCTGAAGTCACTAGGGGAGATGGTGGCCAAGGCCAGGCAGGACCCCAGTGACAAGTCCCGAGTCAAGCAATCATCGCCACACCCCATTGCCCCTGATCCACGGAGACCCCTGCTGAGCTCCAGGCACCCCTGGCTCCTCGGCCTCTTCCCAGCCAGCGTTCAGCCCCATTCCCTGTCCCTGGTTCTTGCAAACGTCCCCCAGCTAATGGGCACATGCAGAGCTCAGCACAACCCAAGGGACAGCACAACCCAAGGGTCCCCAAGGGACCACACAGGAGGACAGGCTGTCACCTATTCAACCCCTTGTGACAAGTGGGGAGCCCACCTGGGGAGGAGGGAATGTAGAAGAGCTGCCAGCCTGCTAAGCCCTCAGCAAAGACCATACTCAGCACAGCACAGACAAAGAGCTGGAGATTCCCCTTAACCAAGCCTAAGACTGGAAAACCTCCACTGTGAGTTTTGCTGCCCTTTCTGTTTCCTTCTGCCTTCCCCTGACACAAGAAGAAAGGAACGTCCCGCAAAGCAGCTGCAGATACACCTGTTAACACGTGCCTTGCAAGTGTCCTATGAACACCTGTGCTTTTATTATTGATTCAGGAAAAGGCAAATCTGGGGGTTCCCTGGTGGCCTAGTGGTTAGGATTTGGTGCTTTTACTGCGGAGGCCAGGGTTCGATCTCTGGGGTCGGGGAACCATCCTGCATTGCAAGTGGGGCGTGGCCAAAATTTAAAAAAAAAAAGGAAAAAGCAAAACACAAACACCCATAATTTGGAAGCAGTGCTAAGTGTGAATTTCAAGCTATCTGGGACAACTGTAATTGATATGAAGAGGGCACAGGCGCTGTTAAAGAGGGGTCCCAGGTCCCTTCTACGATGGAAACATGAAATTTCCAGTAGAAGACAATGAAAATATCAGTGCTTTTTTCCTGATCCGAGTTCATGGATTCCTGAATTTTCCCACAGACTCCAGGTTAAGAACCACTAAGTGACTCTTAACCAGCATGTCAAATTAGAATTAGAGAAGAGGAACATGTCAGTGAGTATCACAAAGAGACATGAGGATCCGTTAGGAAACTTTTGCTGGGTCTGCGGTTCTGAGCCCAGACTTTGCAGCCAGACTTCCTCAACCTGAATCCCGACTCTGCCACTTAGTGCTGTGTGACAGGCCGAGCCACTGTGCTCTCTGGGCCTCCGTTTCCTCCTTTTGCAAATGGGGACAATAGACGTCCTTCTAGGGCTGCTGGGGCAGGGAGCTGAGGTGGGACAGGGCCTGGCGCTTTGCACCATGGCTGAGTGTTTGGCTGTTGCAGTTTGATGGATGCATTTAATAGAATGTGAAAGGCCTGGGGTCTGCTTTAGTTTTCCTTTAGGCTATAACAAATGACCACTCTTCAAGGAGTGCTGTGCTTGACTACCCCTGGTTCTGGCCTTTGCCCATGTTGATCTCTTGGTCTGCAATGCCCCCCTCCCCTTGTCCCCACCTGGCCAGTTCTCACTCAGCCTTTAGGACTTAGCTCAGATATTGCCTCCTTCAGAAAGGCTTCCCTGAAGCCTACCCCATGACTGGGCATGTGCCTATGCACAAGGCGCTACATCTGTCCCTATCAGTTCAGATGCAGTAACAAACTGCCTCCATCTGCTTCTGCACCTGTCCCCCATCGGGTGTCCCCAGCTGGATAGCTGGCCTCTTAATTTCTCTGGTGTCCAGGGAGCCTGTTGTGGACCAGGCCTTGGCAAATGTATGCTGAGTGAGTGAATTAGTGTATGAATGAATGAATGAATGAATGGTTTCCCTGAAGCCCTTTGCACACTCAGAGAAGCCTGGAATTGAGCCTGGGCAGCACAGGCCACCTGGATGAGCTTGCAGCAGGGAGTGGGGGATGGGGCATCCTTAGAGCCAGGAATCCTCATAGATTATGGGATCTGCTTGGGGTCTGCACGGGCAGGCCCAGCATCCTGGGCAAAATCACCAAGGCCTGGGGTGTCAGACCCACCTCCTGCCTCGTCCTGCAGCTCTGCTCAGTGAGCTCCACCCCGGAGGCCTCATTCCCCACAAGCTCAGAAGGCTGTGTTCTATCCCAGACTCAAGGACCATGCCTGGACGCCTTGTTGCTTCAGAAACTTGATTTATTAATGGATTCTGATTCAGGGTCTCAACTCAGACTCCCTTGTGCATGAAGCCCACCACCAGGCCAGATGGCCTGATGGCCTCAGCAGGGTAACCCAGGTCCCAGCCCTGGAGACCCAGGAGCACTCATTTCTTTTAGGTTGTGGTGCTATTTGGTGGAACAGAGTTCAAGGCTACTAGAGGATAATCCCACTCAAAGCCGATACTGGAAATGCCCAGGAGCCTGTAATGCTCAAAGAGTCCAGTGAGCACCTCCTTACTGTTACCCGGGGAGTCAAAAAAGGTCCTGCCACCTTCCTCTCCAGCACTCAAAGTCGGTGTATATGACCAGGTGCTGGAGGAAAAGCTTGTAGGAGCCGTAGATTCCTATAATGTGTAAACCTGGCAGCAGGA